GTCCTAGTAATTCGTTTAGGAATTCCTATGCCTGATCTCTCTCTCCGTCCGGCAAGTCTCTGACCCCATCTCATATCCCTCACTCGTGGTCTACAACTCGAGATGACGTAGTACTGACTGACCTTGCAGTAATGTCTTGTTCTCTTTCAACTTTCCAACATGCAAGTCGTTTCTTTCTTTTCCCTTCTTGACCGTTACCTTTCTCGCTTGGACTGTCACCTCATGCTCATACTTGGCTCAGATGCGATCTCTCCTCGATCGACATCACATCCGGATCTCGTCGAAAACATCCGTCGTGGTGAGTCGAACGCTTTGATCTTTCATCCCTTGGTCCTTCTCGGTATACTCCTCCGTGACCTCGTTCTCATCCCTTGATCCTCTCGGTACACTCCTCCGTGACCTCGTTCTCATCCCTTGATCCTCTCGGTACACTCCTCCGTGACCTCGTTCTCATCCCTTGATCCTCTCGGTACACTCCTCCGTGACCTCGTTCTCATCCCTTGATCCTCTCGGTACTCGTCTCCCCCGTGACGTTGTATCTACCTCTGAGCCTTTTTTTGTTCAATCCGCCTCATCGTTCACTCTGACCAGCCAGTACAATCCAATTCTTCTCCCACCAACACCAAAACCAAACCAATCGTCGTCTTTCACCTTTCCGAACAAGAACACGATCCCATCTCTATCTCTCGACTCGTGTCGAAATTTCAAATCGAAATCACAGACGTGATACTATTCCATGACATTGTGAAATCATTCGTCGATCCAAGAGAGACTTCGTTGTTGCTTGATTTAGTACAATCGTCCACCCATGACAATCGACAAGACGTACAATCATCATCGACTGATCAACAAGACGTAAAATCATCATCAGCGGATCATGATCAACACGACTCGTCTCCTCACCAGCAAGAACGTGAGCGCTGGGAACCGAAAGGTGTCCGGATCGATTTATCAAAGACACCATGGGTACAAGTGGAGAGCTTGAGTGAATCTCTCGTCCACGGTTATACACCTACCGTAATTGGTTTGGTGAGTGGGGATTCTTTCTTTTGATCCACTTGCTCCCTCATTCGGTCTCTTTTTGTTTGGTTTTTCCCTCGCTAATCGTGCCTCTATGTGTTTCCCCCCCCCCGTACTTTTCATGGTGTCTCTATCTTCCTCTCTTTCTCTTCCGGTGTAACCTTCTTCCTCTACTTTTCCCATCTACCTATCCCCTTCCCTCCCTCCCTCGATCTCCGTCTCTTTCCCCTTCGCTCTATCTTTCTCCTGCGGTCCCTCGCTCCGACTCGGCGGGCCTCGTAATGTATCCTCTAATACATACCCATCCCTCCGTGTACTTTGTCTTCTCCTTTTCTCTCTCCTTGTTCGTCATTCATGTTCGCAGTCATTCTTCTATACCTTATCCATACCCCCTGACACACGCTGACCTTTTCATAGACTTCAAAAATCGGAGGACCCATGTTCATCTTTCGTAAGTGTCTCATTTTTCATTCACGTGCCTTTCCTTTCCCCACTAGACGATGGATGTGGACGATGGGGAAATAATGATCGGGAGTGGAGGGGAGGGCGGAGGGGGGCGTGTGAGTTGGCCAACTGGAAGAACTGAGTCTGGAGGAACAGGAGGAATTGTATCAGGCAGTCCCTTAACAATATCACCAGTCCATCGATGTGTTCAACCCAAAGAAAGGGGGAGAGACTCTCCCCCCTTTGAGGTCGTATATTTCCATCTCGACTTGTGGACGTGGACGATGGAATGATGACAAGAAGGGGAGGGAGGGTATAAGTTGGAACAAGGTATGAGTTATGACCTAGAACGAATGAAAGAGAGTAGAAGGGTGGATGAGATGGTCGATGAAAGATTGACAAGAGAGAGGAAAGGAGAGCAAGACTAATATATCAGTTCGTGAGACAGATAAAGCACATGAACAGATCAAACCTTCAAACTCTGGTTACGTTCTTTGTCCCCTTTGGTAAGTTGTTTCCTTCCTTCCTTTCCGTCAGAGGGGAAAAAACACAACTATCGCTGATGATTTCGTGTCCCTATTACGAACCGGGTTCTTTCATCTCATGTTCCATCTCCCGATTCTATCACTCCTTGTTCCATCTATCCCCGTTTACCGTTCTTTGTTATAACAAATGGAACATGGTTACTACGAATGGAACATGAAATGGCAGAACAGAGCAAGCCGGAGCGGGGAAAAAGAAATCAAAAAAAAAAAAAAAATCCCTCTAACTCACAGGTCATCTTACATCCTTCACCTCGCTCACCTTTCCGGTCTTAAAGACGTTACGGAATTAGACCTGACATGGATCAAAGTTGTCAGCTCCACGTCGGTGGATCAAGTACCAACTACGGTCAGTAAGAAGATTATCAAAAATGTTGATTTATCGACGAAGAAGATTATCGGAAGAAACTCAACCGTCGTCGTCGATAAGTCACTCGGTCGAAAGGGAACGAATGGTTCTTCGTTTACAAAACCTACTCAATCGTCTTTGGCTAAGGTGAGGGAGAAATTTGTCCCTCCTCCAACCCGTCCGTCCCCCGCCATGTCACGTCCGGCCACGGCTATGTCACGTCCTCCTACCGCCATGTCTCGTCCGGCTACCGCCATGTCACGTCCTCCTACCGCCATGTCACGTCCGGCCACAGCCATGTCACGTCCTCCTACCGCCATGTCACGTTCGTCCACCGCCTTGTCACGTCCTCCTACCGCCATGTCACGTCCGGCCACAGCTATGTCACGTCCGGCCACAGGCATGTCACGTCCTCCTACCGCCATGTCACGTCCGGCCACAGGCATGTCACGTCCTCCCACCGCCAGACACCTTGAGGCCGGTATCACATCGACCCCTCGACCCCTCTTGATAAGGTCAATCTCATTCACCGACGAATTGATTCGTGATTTCTGCTCCGACAATGTCAGTCCGGAAGGTTTCAAACCGTTTACTCCGAGATCGTCGTCTGTAGCTGGTCATTATGATCATCATCATCACCATCGCTACCCTTCTTCATCTCCGTCCGAGATACAGAATCAAAGTCAAGAGATAACGTTCAATTTACCCATCCAAAGTCGTCAGGAGATAAGTTTGATACAAATGACACCTACGAAACAAAGCAGAGATGATGATGATGATGATGGTTTCAATTTGCGGACTCCTAGACCTGGTGATGTGCTACAAGAGAGTGGTACGATGACAATGACTGCTCGTACAGTCCGACCTTTACGTTTCTCTCGCGCATGACGGCTAGGACTAGGGCAACGGCTACGGCTACGGCTTCGGCTTGAGAAGGAGAGAAAGAGTCAAGGAAGGAATCGATCTTGCTTGTTAGCTAAAGGGGGAGGAGGAGGTGAGAATGCTGGTGTTTGAGACGTTTCATCTAATGTGTTGACCACTTGTGTAAAAACGACTGATGTGCATTTTGTCGATACGTTTCATATTGTTGATAATTGTATATATATATGTGGTACATGAATCATGATCCTTTGACGTAAATCGTATCTCGTATAAGCAATCCATCTATCCATCCATCCATCTATCTATCTATCTATCTATCTATCTATCTATCTATCTCTCTCTCTATCCATCCATCCATCTATCCATCTATCTATTCATCGACCCGCGCCTAAGCATCAACTGCACATTACCAGAGAGCACGTACAAACGCTGAAACATACGGAAAGCGTAGAAGGAACAGAGAAGGCTGATGCTTGGTACGCCAAAGGATACAATAGGAAACACCGGACTGCGCCAAACTCTGAGCAAGGTGATCTAGTGATGCTGTCCATGGAGAACATCAAGACTGAACGTCCGATGTCAAACAAGGTAGGTAGTACGGCAGGTAGGTAGGTAGGTACGTGGAGAAGTGAGTGAGTGCATGTACGGTAAAGGATGACATGGCAAGAGGGAGGGAGGCTTGCGCGTCGATGGATACTTGAACATGTTGCGTCTCCAAGGTGTTGACACTCGTGGCCCTGCCCTGGCGAGGATAGACTAGGGAATGAGACTCTGTATGTGTATGTATGTGAGTGGAGTGGATAATAGGACCCAAGTCAGAGCAGGGGGTCATTGTAACGACCACTCGCGTCCGAGTTGCCAGTTCGGGTAATATCCCCATTACCCGAAACCAATAAACACTACCAGCCACCCTTATCTACATTTCACTCTCATTCCATGTACATAAGGTAGTGCATAGCTTAGCACAACTTTGACGATTGTATCTTGTCTGTCTCAACATACAAATTCTCATATACATTTGCCAAACCTAGTACTCATTCGTCAAACCACTTGCTTCGATCTTCATATTATCTCGCAACTAGTTCAAGTCCCTACAAGTAGCTTTATCACCATCGGCGCAGGCCCTTCGACCTTCGGTCTGGTCTTGACAGTCATGTCATGTTGTCCAGGCTTCCAAGCATCAGCTGACTTTGCTTTGCGTAAACCCGTGTGGTGTGTCGGATATCCAGCGTTTCCGAAACTCAGCGTCTGACGTGATCTCCAGTGTTCCCGAATATCTGACGTGTCGGTTCTGACCGTGGCCAAGTATGTCAAGTGGACGACAAACACAAACACAAATACGCTGATGCAGTCGGGTGTCAAAAGTCATGATCCGCGCGTCATATTCCGGCCGCCACACACCCGCCACATTCGCTCAAATTCGGTGTTTACACTGAAAGTAAACAAGCAGGACAGCTCCTATGCCTGCAAGACTCAGTCAGATTGTTCTTCTGCATATCAACTATGGTAGGGTGCCCTTTTTCCCCTTTAAAAAAAGGCCACAATTGCCCAAAGCGGCCTCCACACCCCCACCAAGATTGTCGCTCTTCGCTTTGGGTGTGTCATACACCACCAATTTGCCACTCGTCAAAGTACTTTTGTGCAATCAGACACTTGAAACACTTACCCCTGGATACCTCCACCTCCACCTCCACATGCTGGAACATTGCTGAATGCCTCCACCTCCACCTCCACTTGCTTATCAAGCCTCCACACTCTGGAATATTCTAATCCTGCCTCCACCTTCCCAAACCAGTAATTCTGTTTGGTTGCTGAGCAATCATCCATAGTCCAAAACATTCAGTGCCTGCCTCCACTTTCCCAAAGTAGTAATTTGGTCTGCTAGCTGAGCAATCTTTCCCGCGTTTGCGCAAACTAGTTTCTTCCGTAGATATGTTGAGCAACCTGCTTGCAGGGGATAAATACCCTCTCCAAACAGGTTGTTCCCCACCTATGGATCTTGTGTCAATTCAGTCAGTCCCAGCCTGACATCTCTCAGTCCCCTCAGTCCCCTCAGTCCCTTTCCACCCTCTGTATACTCCTCAGCTCTACGAGCCCAAGACAAGTATTGGGTTACAGCCCCATTCCAGTAACCTTGCCTACCCCTTGGGGATTAGACCCCGCCCGTGACAGGGTGCTCCTGTCACGGTCCTGTCCTTGACAGACCTCAAAGAATCAAAGACAGGTGAACTGCAACTGTTTAGTTAGCTTGGACAATGACGGTTAGTATGTTGTCCGTAGACTTGTGATGTGGTCGGACGACTAAAGTAACTTGCGAAGGATGCGGGCGAGTTGAGATGATGATAAGGGTGTATGTCATGATGTGGACAGGGGTAATGATGGTGAGGGATGGTAAGACGTAAGTAGTATGTCAAGATGAGGTCTTCTGCGAGTGGCAAATGATATTTTGATCCTTGAGAAAAGGAAAACTACAAACTACAAATGGCCTCCTTATATCCTTTTCTAAGGGAACTGTGATGCGCAAACTCGTCGTATGAATTCAGAATCATCTGGGTTGATATCATGTGGATTCACACTGATATCATGTGGATTCATCCCGGAATCAGGTGAGTTCATGACGGTTTCACACGATATTCAGGTGATTTCTGATTGAACTCATATGGGTTCAGGTGTATTCATGGTGAACTGTAACGGTACTGGAAACACGACGACTAGGTCGCAGGTTGGGTCGAACTCGATGGAGGTCTCGTGGAAATCTAGGGGCTCTGGTGCTAATGGATCGTGTCTCCTCTGCAATCGATGTAGCCAAAGAATGATATTGAAGAATCAGCAAAGTTGGTACTTTGCTGATTGTACTATATACTGTCTACAGGTATCCGTGTCCTCCTCTCAGTTCCTACTGCAAGTGTCTATGTACATACTCGGACAGGTGAAAAACCGCTTTTGAGCAAACCCAGTGGGGAAATCTCGAAAAGGGAAAACCCGTCCCTACCTACTGCAGCACTGCCTCCAACTCCCGCCGTTCTCCTTCCTAATCCGTCGAACTCGATGGAGTTCTCTCGATTCGTTGTTACTCCGTAACAAGTTTCCCCCCCTGTCTCAAGGATCCTCGCCGAGGATCCTGAATTCTGTAACTAGGTGATTCAGATGGATTGCTCTGAGACACCTTTGGTGCGCCCTGACGTCACACCCACGCTAGTGTGACGGTTGCCATGAAACACGTCACCCGCACGGACCTCCAATGTGACCGAGAAATTACTGACCAAGTCTCTTTCTGTCTCTCTCTTCTTCTTTCCTCCTCATTCCTTCTTTTCCTCTTGTTCGTCGTTCTTTTCACTTATCTACCATTATCCATCCATATCTTACCTATATCTTAGCGCATCCTTCCAACTCTGACCTGTCTGTGAGCATGTCTAAGCGTACTGTAAGCAATTCTCTTCGAATTCGATGCACTTCCTCCTGTTTATCACTGGCTGACGAGATTAGTTGTCCTCGTCTATCTCTTCTCGTCAAACTCGGGCCTCTACTACGGCAATCCTACCTGACGTCGACCCCGAGCTTCTCATGCGTCAAACGAAAAGAATGAGAATTACTTCCCAAGCGCCAGTTCCCTCTCAAACTCCATTGGTTGACGCTTCTCGAAGGGCTCTCGACACCATTAAGGATCGATATCAATCCGGCCCTTCTCGCGACCAACAATCGTCTCTTCTCGATGACGAGGTCATCGAGCAATATATCGACTTCGAAGGGGGGGCAGGGCCATCTGCCACTGGTGAGAACCCATCTCCTGCGAAATCTGTCGAGTCCGAACACGGTACCATCGTTGAAAATCAAAATTCTCCTGGTAATAAGTCCCCTGTGCCACCTTCTGATTATTCCGAGGGGCTTGTCGAGGTTCCCCATGAACTCGAAACCATTTTTCACGCCCCTCGCAAGGTTCCGGTCAATGATGAACTTGCTAAGGCTCTGGATGCTCGAAAAGACTCGGAAATTGGTGAGATTTCTACAGAATTCTGTGCGTTTCTGACTCGTCAGCTACCCTCTGGGCCCGCCTTTCTTTCTCCTCTGTTCGTCACGCTCTGAAGGATGAAGCCCTCGATCGCTTTCGCGAGACTGGGGCCATCAAGCCCACTGTCAAGTGGTTTGGTAACGCCGTGAGCTTTTTCTCCTTCGTATTCCACCGAATTCTAACTGTTAGCTTGATCGCTTGGCCCAAGGTTGGCGACTTCGTAACAAGAATGGCGCTGTTGTCCGTCTCGAGGGTGAGCTTTGCTCCGATTGCCAGCGTCGTCTCGATGGTGGAGAAGATTTTCGTGTAGGTTGTATCGGTCCTCGTGAGTCTTCCTACTCTTCCTGTTCGATATTGATGCAACTTAGTTGGTGGTGTTTGTGGAGAGTGCTCCGCGAAGGGAACTTCAAAGTGTTCGGTGAAAACCAACAATCCCGAGTCCAAATTTCGCGAGGTATCTATCTTCTTCCTTCGAACTTGGTCGATGTTGATGTAAAGGGTATTACTGTCGGAGCCCAGACTGTTACTTCCAAGGTTACCTTCGTCCTGGAGCACGAACTCTGTGCTGTCTCGGCCCAATATCGATCCCTTTCCTCCCAGGATCAATCCTCTTCCCTTACTCAACTCTCCGCTTACATCCATCTTTTCTCTTCTCTTCTCCTTCCTCTTCCCCCAGTACATCTGGGTCTTTACAAATCCCTCCATCTCATTCCTTCCGACTATGTTCCTCCTTCTCCCTCTGAAACCTTGGATCATCTCACCTCCGCTGGCGATCCTACTGGATTGAGTTCCTCTCAGCCAGTCACCGGTCCCTCCTCTTCTCCCCAAACTCCTCTCCCCCGCAATGTCATTCGTATCCCTGCTTCGGCCCGTCGTCCTCGAGCCAATTCTACCGCCTCCAACTTTTAGCGTGTTTATATCTCTCTAATTGTAGCTATATTTCCTGTGTATGCACTTATTTCCACTAAATTCCGTTGATCTTGATCGAGTTCTCACCTTCTTCTGGGGTCTTTTTTCCTCTTTTCCAGAAATTCACCAAAAACGGCCAACTCTTCTACATTTTCTCGTGGTTCCCAGTCATAGGCCGCATTCCCTGTGTATCCTAACCATTTCACCTTGAATTCCTCCTTTCCTCGTCGAATTCTACTGTCCACAATTGCTTCCACATGGAATTCCTCCTGGCCGTTTATTACTACAGGTGGTGGGGGTTGTATCTGTCGACCTGGTATCATGTCTCTAGGATATGGTTCCAACAACGTGACATTGAAGACATTGTGCACTCTCATTGATGGAGGTAGATCTAATTCGAAAGCATTTTTCCCCACTCTCCTTATGATCTTGAAGGGGCCAACGTATTTTGCTTCTAATTTTCGACTGGGTCTTTCCGTCGTAAGATACTTCGTACTCAGTAGTACCTGTTCTCCCTCTCTGAATTCTTCTGGTATACTCTTGTGTCTCCTGTTGTAGTATTCGGCACTAATCTCATTGGCCATCCTGACCTGTTCTTGAACAGCCGCATGTAACTCTCCCATATCTCTCCATTTCCTCTCCAACTTGTTTGACTTTGATCGAATATCGTGCGAATGGATGTCGTAGTGTGGCACATAGCCGTAACAGGCTTCAAAGGGACACAGACCGTGGCTACTATGTGGCGAACAGTTATAAGCGAACTCAGCAATTGGTAGAAGTTGATCCCAATTGTCCATGTTGTAGTTTACATACATTCCGAGCAGGATTTCCATCTGTTGATTTACTCGCTCAGTTTGTCCATCTGTTTGAGGGTGATACGCAGTCGAGTATAAGTTTTTTATTCCCAGGAACTGACATATTTCCTTCCAAATTTCCGCTGTAAACTGAGTTCCCCTATCTGATACGATTGTTCGAGGTACTCCATGTTTTGAAAAGATCTCCTTGATGTAGATGTCGGCCACTTTGTTCGCTGTTAGTCCAGTTGTACATGGAATAAATCTAGCCATCTTGGTTAGTCGATCGACTATCACTAGTATCGCGTCAAACTCGGTCGATTTTGGTAGGGGTCCCACCATATCCATAGAGATATCTGTCCACGGGAGTGTGGGTACTGGTAAAGAGACTAGATGTCCATACGGTTGATGTCGATGAGTCTTATGTCGGTTACAGATCTCACATCCTTTTACGTATTTTGCGATATAATCGTCCAAATGGGGCCAATAATAGTCCTCTTTGATCATAGTGATGGTTTTGTCTCTTCCTGGGTGTCCTACTAATATTGAATCGTGTCTTGATCTCATTACTTCTAACCTTGCTTGTCCCTCTGGTATGACTACTCTATTCTTGTACAAGAGCAATCCGCTTTGAGTCCATGATACCACCGGTGCCTCGTTGCTAATCTGTGTCTTCTGTGTGTCCTGTGTGCTATGTGTCTGTGTGTCCTGTGTACTATGTGTCTGTGTCAATTGCAGTCCTAGTCGTCGTATGTTTGCTATGTCTTCTGAGTCTTTGAGTCCGTTTTTGATGAGTCCAAATAATGAGTCTTCTCGGATTGCTCCTCTTACTATGTGTCGGGTTTCTGAGTCTATCGAATTCGATCCATGTTTCTCGTATGTGGGTAGTAATTGTAGCCAGTTTCCTTTGTTTAGATCTGGGTCCTTACTACTTCCTTTTCCCGGGTGATAATCCCCTCGTCTTGTTAAAGCATCTGCTCCCCCATTTTTGCTACCTGGTCGATAAGTGATCTCTATGTTGAAGTCTCCTAAGATTTCCAGCCACCTCATTTGTCTTCGATTCAGTTGTCGCTTACTTTGGAAGTACTCCAGGTTCTTGTGATCCGTAATGACTTTTATGACATCACTACTGTTCGCTAAGTATGGTCTCCATGCTACCAAGCAGTCCACAATGGCTAGTAGTTCCTTCTCTCCCACTGTGTAGTTTAATTCGCAGGGTGTCATTGCTCGAGACCAATACGCAACCGGATGAAGTTCCGTGGTCCCTTTTATCGATGGATGAGGGAACCTTTGGGACGCTATTGCACCTATCGCACAGTCAGATCCATCGGTTTCGATCCAGGTTGGTCGGGTTCTATCGAAATGTCGAAGTACCGGTGCTGTCGTGAAAGTTTTCTTCAAATTTTCAAAAGCTTTTTGACATTCCTCTGTCCAATTCCAAGCCTGATCCTTCCTGGTCAGACGGGTAAGAGGACCCACAATATGTGAGAATCCTTTGATGAACCGTCGATAGAAATTGGCAAATCCTAGAAAAACCTGAGTATCTCGGACTGTCATTGGTTCTCCCCATTCTAGAATGGCTTTCACCTTGTCTTGATCCATCTCGATCCGTTCGTGTCCGATTACATACCCCAGAAACTTCACTTCGTCGCAACTCCATTCACACTTCCTCGGGCTAACAACCAAGTCGTTTTCAAGTAATCGGTCTAATACCTTTTGGACAATTATCTGATGGTTTTCGATCGTGTCTGAGTATACCGTGATGTCGTCTATGTAAACTACCACTCCTTCATCTAACAGGTCGTGGAACATATCCTGCGGGAAGTTTTGAAAGGTGGCTGGTGCGTTGCATAATCCATCCCGTAGAACAGTGCTTTCAAAACTACCGTATCGTGTTCGTAGAGCAGCTTTATGTTCATCTCCTTCTTTTATTCGAACTAACTGATAGGCCCCTTTCAGGTCGAGTTTGGTAAACACCTTTCCCAATTGAAGTCGATCGAGTAAGGTCGAGATAAGTGGCATTGGGTACGAATCCTTGATGGTTACCTTGTTAAGTGCCCGGTAATCTGTAACTACTCGATAGGGAATGACTCCTTTCTTGGGGACCAGGAATACTGGGGACCCATAGGGCGATTTACTTCTTCGCAGATGTCCACTAGTCAGTCCATCATTGATCCACTGCTTCAGGAAAGCATCCCCATGCTCGTCCAGTTGGTAGATTGGTCCTGGTTTCAGTTCAGCCCCTGCTACTAATTCGATTTCGTGGTCACATTCTCTTCTTGGTGGTAGTCTTCTTGCTCTTTCTACCTTGAATAATTCGAGGTACTGGTGCCATTGTGTCGGTATGATTTGTCGTAGTTCCTCCTCACTCATTTCGTCCTCCCCTTTCTCCAGTGTTGCTCCTCTTATTAATCCTTCTTCTAATCTTGGGTATTTCCAACCAGTATCTCGTTCAATTCCGTCGAATTCGATCAGTCCCTTTCCACAATCGATCCTTGCCCTAAACTGTCTCAAGAAATCTAGTCCTACTAGTACTTCTGGTCCTTCGTATGCCATAACATCCAGTCGAGTTGCAATCCTGAGTCCTTTTCCTAGATCTAATTCTGCTTCTACATATTCGGTCACTAAGGTCGCGGTAGTTCCATCCAGGAACCTAATTTTTCGTGGTACCTGATATTGTTTCTTTGGGAATAGATGGTATAATGGACAGGCCGGCTGCACATACCTTCCTGTAGCCCCGGTATCGATTAACATTCCAATCTGTAGGGTATCTTTCTTTGTTTGTATTTTTATATATATTGTGGCCGAGTCATTACTGAGATCTATTGGTATTTGAATTCTCTGCGATCCGGGCAGATCCTGGCCGCAAGTGGTCGCATCACTTAGGCCAGGTAGTCGTTTCCCTCTTCTTCAAAGGTCACCGCCATTCCTCGAACTAATGGCCCTTTGGATCCAGTTGGGATCGAGTTCGATCCACTAGGAATCGGTGAGCTATGCGGGTTTGGGGATCCCCTAATGTTGTTTCTCGTATTTCCTCCATTTGGACAGTTGTTGGCGTAATGTTCTGGACTTCTACATTTGAGACAACGTCGGTTCTCCCTCCTCCAAGTCATTTCGTTCTCGCTGAGACGTCCTCCGTCCTCTGTCCAAGTGACCGGAGGGTCATTTGGTAGACCATAATTCATCATCCCTGGTTTTCCACCGGGCAAGGGTCCTCTACCAGTCGATTGTGAGTGGCGTTCTACCGGGTTGGGCAAACTAGTATCAAATCGCATCGAATTCGATCGAGGGGGAAGCCAGGTCGTCTCATGTTTGCGTCTAGCAGCCTATCGATTCGCTGCACTCATCGTTTCAGCCATCCGTTGGTTCTCCTCAGTCCCTATCACATGCTGTTTGAAATAGATCCAGTCCGATTTGGTTCGAGGGTCGGTGTTATTTACCACTACCACCTTCAGTAGCTCTTCCTTCAGGCCCTGTATGGCTGAGGCGATTTTCATTGCATCTGGTACCTTTCCAAGGTGTGTGGACCAAAGTTCAAAGTTGGCAAAATACTCGGCGGCCGTATCCGTCTGTCTTAACTCCTGCAATTTCCTCATAGCCGTACCTGCCATGTTACTGTCTCCAAATTGAGTTCGTAAATGCTGGATGAATTTGTCGTAGCTCTCTAGCCATTCGGTCGAATTCCATATACTTGGATTGGTTATGGCCGGGGTTATAAGCATTTGAGGGGTGCCTCGAAGGTACCCGTACATGAACAGGATCTTTCTGCGATCGGTGGCGTACTCTGCCCCTTTGAATTCGAAGTTCATGTGACATGCTGCAAGGAAGTTGTCCAATTCTCCTCGTTCTCCACTGAAGGTAGGTGGATCCGCACACCTGGTTCTTCCTGTTCGTTCGTTGTTGGTAAGTTTTGGCTCCAAACACGGCTTGTTTTCTCCGACTTCGATCAAACTTGCCCCTTTCGATGTGAGTATCTGTTGGTTCTGTCGGTCAGCTTTCATCGTAGCCAGTTCTTCCCTTAATGCATTTTGTTCCTTTTGTTGCATCGTCATAATGGCTAACAATTGTGACAACTGCTGCGATAATTCATTTAGCGGATCTGGGGTAGTGGTAGTAGAAGTGAGATCATGTGAAATGGTACTTCTCGAAGAACTTGTTGGTATTTCTTCCTCTGGGACCAGCCCTTGTTCCAACTCCTCTTTTTCTGGTATCATTTTCCGCGCTTTCCCTCTGGTGAGCATACAGTACTCTCCGATTCGACCCAAGGTGCGTAAGGCTGATTCTTCAACTTGTAACGGTACTGGAAACACGACGACTAGGTCGCAGGTTGGGTCGAACTCGATGGAGGTCTCGTGGAAATCTAGGGGCTCTGGTGCTAATGGATCGTGTCTCCTCTGCAATCGATGTAGCCAAAGAATGATATTGAAGAATCAGCAAAGTTGGTACTTTGCTGATTGTACTATATACTGTCTACAGGTATCCGTGTCCTCCTCTCAGTTCCTACTGCAAGCGTCTATGTACATACTCGGACAGGTGAAAAACCGCTTTTGAGCAAACCCAGTGGGGAAATCTCGAAAAGGGAAAACCCGTCCCTACCTACTGCAGCACTGCCTCCAACTCCCGCCGTTCTCCTTCCTAATCCGTCGAACTCGATGGAGTTCTCTCGATTCGTTGTTACTCCGTAACATGAACACATGCGAACTCATGAGGGATGCGTATGAACTCGTGGTGAACTCATGTGGTATCATGGTGAACTCATACAGTATCATGGTGAACTTGTGTGGTATCATGGTGATTTCACATGGACTGATATGAATTCATTGGAACTCATATTGAAGTCGCATGAATTCAGTTGGAGTGTGTTGAATTCACGTGAACTCGGGTCATTCTTGGTAGAGTCGTGACAGCTCCCCATCTACCGTCAACCGTCTGCGACGTGAACGAGCCCAGCGTGGACACAGGAAGAGTCAAGCTCGTACAGGACAACCCAATAAACTATCCAGACGTGATTCAGCACAAATTAGGCATACCCTGCAGAGATACCGATGTTTACCCTTGCGAAAACTCCTCTCTACACTTCAGAATGACAGTATCAACATCTCCTTGTCCACCCTTCACCATACCGTGCGACAACTTGTGTCATGATCCAGTCGTAACGCAGACTGCATATCGATAGTCGTGTATATAGAAGTGACAGACACGTACATGGTATTGAATTCCAAACTGTACTGCAGACTGTACTACAAACTGTATTGCAGAAACTGTATACAAACTGCATTACAATTGGTAATACAAACTGTAGTACCACCATCACTTGGCATTACCATTGCAATACAGATGGTAATGCACTGTCACAAAGCGTGTGACAAGTCGAGCGAATGTCGGGGAAGGGTATTTAACCAGCGATCGGCGGTAGGGTTAACCGCCGATTAATAGGCCTTTTCGTCGCAGTGGTTAAGATCACTGTTCCGTTGGGCACTGTTATATCGTGCATATGCTGGTCAGTATGTCTCGTGACATGCACGAAATAGTATATAAACCGTCTTGTAGGATCCTTGTCACGAGACCAACTAACCAGCATTGGGACGATATAACAGTGCCCTTCAGAGGCAGCGGTCTAAACCACTGTGCTAAAAGGCCTATTAACCGGCGGTTACTGCATACCGCCGGTTGCTGGTTAAATACCCAACCCGGAGACAACTCTAACCAAACTGACTTTTCATTAACTAAACTGACTTGTCACTTCGTGACAATCCTCTATCTTAAGGATCAATATATTTTTTTGACACACACAAAGACCTCGACTTACTCTTTACTAACCATCCTTCTCATCCACACCCCTCTCCTTGCCATCGACCTATCCTTTGCCCCCATCTTGACTTGCTCAATCCTTCCAAGTCTTCTAGTTGTCCAACCAACTTCACAAGCCACGAGTTATACTATGTCCTTCATAACTCAAGCTCGTAAACGGTTCTAGTCCACCTGTCTCTTGTGTCCTTGAGATCTGCTAGGGATAGGTCGTGACAACTTGGTTATAAACGGTGTGTGGCTCGGATCAAACCTATTCTCACTCCTCAGCATCAAAAGCAATGTCTTGAATGGGCAAAGAAGTGTGCAAATTTGGGCTGGAGGATGGTAGTATTCACCGATGAGGCGAAGATGTGGACTGGGGGTTCTACTATAGAATGGGTCACAAGGAAAGATGGAGATGCTTTTCAATCCTGACTGTGTCCTACCCAAGATGCGAAAGGGAGCTGGAGTGATGGTATGGGCTGTGGTATGGCATGGAGGACGGACAGAACTGGTGAAATTTGACAAGTCCAAGAGTGATTCACAGGGAGGATGTCACGAAGTGACAAGACAGTTTGATAGTGATAGTGTTAGGATGGGTTGGGTATTTAACCAGCGACCGGCGGTATGCAGTAACCGCCGGTTAATAGGCCTTTTAGCACAGTGGTTTAGACCGCTGCCTCTGAAGGGCACTGTTATATCGTCCCAATGCTGGTCAGTTGGTCTCGTGACAGAGGAGCTGTGAATGGTCAGATCTACCTTCGAGCAAATTGTCAAGAAGCCATTATTGGAAGCATGGAAGAAGTTAGTACGCATTTGGAAGGGGATATGGTACTCCTTACATCCTTCAAGATGGAGTTCCTCTACACTGCACCCCGCCAAAGCGTTTGTTCTTCAAGAAACACAAATCTCAATTTATCGACCACCCTCCCTCTTCTCCTGACCTCAATCCGATTGAAAACTGCTGGTCTATAGTCAAACATCAACTTGTCACACTTCCAGATCCTCTTCCAAACATTGATGACCTATTCAAAGTTGCTAGCAAGTTGTGGCTTGAGATACCACAGAAGAAGATTGATTCTTATATAGACAGTATGGAGGAGAGAAGGAAGGCAGTTTTGAAATTAAATCGTTTCAGTACCCAATTTTGAGTTATACATCCTGGACACTGTGAGTCTTCTTCCGTATACCTTTGTGCATATGCTGACCAAGTTTTAGATTCTTAGCTGAATTGATGCATGAAATATGAAAGCGTGAAGATAGAGCATGTGTATGGACTTGCCGAAAAAAATGACGCGCGGATCATGACTTTTGACACCCGACTGTAGTAAAGAATCACATCAACGACCAACCAATCCATATCATTGTTACGTGGCATTACTTAACGACACCACGGGGGGAATGCAACCCTAGAGGGGCCACGTTGTACATGTCAAGCTTGGATTGCACTTGCGACTGTCAGTCGAGTTGCATCGAAAGCTATCCAGAGGCATCTCTACAAGAGTTTCGGCGTCCTTAGCTGACGTGTCATTTGGTACTCATCGTCGCTATCTAACAACACTCCACGTCTAGACTACTTCCGACTCGTTCTCACTACTCTCTCTTACTTGGTTCATCATACTCGGCGCGGGTCGAGCCCAGTTTCACTTGCCTGTCATGTCAGCTTCCAGTCATGGTACATACGCAGTCAACGTGACAATGGCCGCGTGCAACCATGATGGATAACACGCAGAGGCCAAGCGAACAGAGATTGGCGCGTGGCGCGTGGTGAATGCTGCGTGGAATGGATGGGCATGGTAGACAAACGGTGGATAGTGAGCAGAGGTAGTGAGAAGTGACGAGCATGGAAACGATGACACTCACCCCGTACCGTTGCGGTAGACCGAGTCGATCATGTTGAATATATCCAGCCTCGGAGCATTGTCGACGACGTGGTCAGAATGTAAGCAAAGTCATGTCAAGCCTGTGGCGTCAGCGCTCCATCTTCAATGGCCAGCTAGTGATCCGGACGTGACAATCATGGACTACCGAGGTAAGGATGGGCTGTCCAGTGGCTTGTCATTGACGGGACGAGATAGTTGGTCAAGAAAAGCGAGAGTCAAAGCGAGGTATTCGTTGACAACGGAAAACGAGTGAGGGGAGGGGGATGCGATGCTACAGCACGCTCTGGATGGATGGGAGGGTGGATGATTGGATGGACGTAACCAACTCACCTTGTCGTGAACTATGAATCATCATGTTGGACCAACACGTCATCATGGTAGTTGGTTTCGAGCGTGTGTGTGTGTGTGTGTGTGCGTGCGTGCGTGCGCGCGGACAATTGACGTTGACGTGGTTACGTGCGACATGTCATTGTTGGACTGAAGGTCAACTCTACTGGGTAGTGAATCATGGTGACTAGGCGATCCGACGCGGTGGGGACAAGTGGAATGGGATGGGATGCGAACGGGTAAAGAGCCGACGTGTCAGACGGGACGGGACACTGGAATGAGATGGTATGTGATAGGATGAGACAGAGTGTGGGGGGGGGGAGGGGACAAACGAGATACGAACCAGTCATGCACCCAAACGTATCATTCCTGAATGTTGTTCGAGGATTTCATCCGTCCACACATGGTTGATTTACTGATCAATCGTCAGCGATTGTTCCGTATCATCAACGGACATGACCGAGGAAAAGACATGGAAATGAGGAAAGCGAATGAGAAGAGGAAAAGACATAAACACGACGAAGGAAAAACAATGGAAACGATAAGAGGAAAGAGGAAATAGAAGGACAAGAGGGAAAGACATCGGCATGACGAAGGAAAAACAATGGGAATGACAAGAGGAACAGACATCGAGACAGACGAAGGAGAGATCAATGAGAAAGAGATGAAATGACGATAGAACGATGATCAACTCACCGGGATATGTTCTATAAAGTAAAACGAACGACCAACAACCAATCCCGATCCCGAATAATCAGCACAAAGAACAAGGCGAGAGAGAGAGAGAGAGAGCGAGGGAAAGAAGAGAGACGAGGGCCCAGACTACTGATGACCGACACGTCGTTTGAACATCGTTCAGACTTCTGATAACGATCAAGGCCCTTCTTTCTCTCTCTCTCTCTCTTTCTCTCTCGAATAGCTCAGACTACTGATAGCCATTCACTTGAACTGAGATGTGTGACGTGGGGGACGGGGGGTAGTTGTGGTGACATTAAGGAAGAAAGAACAAATGCGGAATGAAGGAAGAGGAAGAGAAAGAGACAACGGGGGGGGGGGGGGGGGGGGTTTATGTACACGGGCGCGACTCGGCGAAACGGCGTTATGCATGTCATACCCTACCCATGTGGCGGTTTTTCTGTTCTTAACTCCGATTCATTCGATGAGACTCTGTAATGCCCGACGGACATGAAGTTGATCTCCTTGATCTGGGCAACGTTCCAAACACAACTCTGATACGGATCGATAGAACGAATCATCACCTATACCGTAATCTCTGCCAGCTTCTCTCAAGCTGTTGATAAAGTTTATCAGTTTCGTCTGGCTCGGTCAGCCGACTGACTCATCCACTTACAAACTCACCAATTCCATCCTCTGTCTTTCCGTACTTTTCAACCCCAAGTAACTAGACATGATACCCCCGGCCAGGGATCTCGAGAACGTCTCGGTCGCCGTCGATAACAGTTCTTTGGCTTTTGATTGACCTTGTCTCTGAGAAGAATGGAATAACACGGCCAAGATTGGGAATATATGACTTCGACTGGATAACGGTCGATCGACCATTTCGTTCAGTTTTTCCCAGACTTTAAAACCAGCAGCTGGTCGATTTCCTGTTCCACTTTCAATCCCACTGATATTGATTTCCCCTAGAGTTTGACTATCGCTCTCATTGTCACCGCACAACCATATGGCGATATCTTTCGAGACCATCTTGTCCGTCATCAAATAACCTATCGAAAACCTTTCCATCACATCATTCAACTTTATCATCCTTTGTTCCGCTCGAGACTTTTGTCTCTTCAACTCTTCCTTTTCTTCTTTATCCTTTCTCTCTCTCTTTTCTTTTTCTTCCAGCACAACCCTCAGTTTATTCACCATCAACTCGTTTTCCTTTTCCTTTTCCTTGAATTTCAATCTCTCATCTGATTCTTCCTTCAACATGAAAACGGTTTTACTCAAACGTTCATTCTCCTTTTTATACCAATTCACCTTACCTTCTTCCTCACTCATATTCACGTTATGCTTTGCTTTTTCTTCCATGAGAGCCTGTAACCGAATCCCAAGAGTTTCATTTTCTTCCATGATGGCGCCCAACTGAATCTGTAGGTTGACTTTGTCTTCTGTCACGGATCCCAACTGAATCGAAAGTTGACCGACTTTGGCCGTCAGATTAGATTTATCTCTCCAGATCGATTGTAGCTCTTCTTTCATCCCTTGCATCCTCCGCTCAGAAACGTTCAGCGTCGTTGCTATTCGGTCGGATTCAGAGCGAGATTCGATCAGTTCAGATCGCATTTGATGGATGAGAGAGTCTTGAGATTCCGAATCCTGTCTTAGTTGTCGGTTATCGACCATCAGTTGTCCGACGTTTAGGTTTTCCAGCTTGGTCATGTTGTTTTCAAAGTGATGGATGGAATCTTCAAGTTTGTCCAGTAAGATCTGTCGGGGGTTTTGTTCTTCCGGTGGAGGGTTTTTCTTTTTCCATTGGTCTTCTTCTTCTTCTTCATCATCGTCATCGTCATCGTCGGCATCTACATTTTCATCCTTCCTTCTGACATTATCGTCATTGTCATCATCTTTTTGTCCAATTGGAATTCGACTTTGACCATGATCATTCTCACCGACGTTATCTTTTTGTGCGATTAAAGTTTCTTCAATCTTTTGTTGGTTCCCACCTTTTTTCTCACCATCGTTTACGTGAAGAATTCCTCGGGCAACCGAATCTTTCTCATTACTCTCTTCCTCAAAGAGGTCGACGAGCACTTGAGAACGTGCCGATAATCGATCCACTAAAACTCTCAACCGTTCCGACAATCTGGATCTCTCTTCCAAAAGTCTTCGGTTGATAGTTTCCAATTCTAACACCATCTCGGTTTTTTCCGATAACGTATGATGTAACGTTTCGAGTTCGATCGTCGACCCCGGGTCGTCTTGATGGCGAGTAGGTATCGAACCTGATTGGTTTTCATGTCGTTTGTGAATAGAGATTGAACCATGACCATTCCGGGTTTTTTCATTCAAGTTCGTATGGTGAACCGAGGAGAACAAAGTCGAATGTCGAGGATCAGGATCCGGATCAGGATCCTGGTATTGGAGTTGATTGAAAGATTGATCAAAGTTAAAAGTCATATCATTATCGACTACTCTTCCCGTAGGGAAAGAAGAATCTTTTTCTTCTGCTTCTTCTTCTCCATCGTAATCTAGATCTGGATTTACCCCTCTAAACGATAAACCTTGATCCTCATTGAGAGGATCTGACCCTTCTTTCTTTACTTGCTCTTTATTCTCGAACGATACATCCACATCTACATCCACATCCACATCCTCACCACCACACGATTCATGTTGATCATCCACAATGGAATTCATGATCGAAAGAGAACGTTCTAACCTTTGCAAACACTCGATAGAAAAACTGATCTTCCCTCTACTTTGGTCCAATACATAATCGATACCTTGCTTGATCATTTCCATTTCAGGTTCACGCTCGATCGATCGGAATAAACGTTTCAAAAGTCGCGCTTGGTTTTCGTTTTCACAGTTGTCATCATCTTGCACAGTCTTTTGGGTCTCATTCTCATTTCGTTTTTCGTTTCCATTCTCATTCTGTTCTTCCTTTCTAGTCTGATTTAGCTTTAGATTTTGATTTTGATTTTGGTTTCGATTTCGTTTCTCAACTTGATCTTGCTTCACACTTAAATTCTCGTCATTATCATCCTCTTCGGTCGATGGGATCAAGGAAGCGAACCTATCAATCGTCAGCGTTTCTCACAAGTTTGCTTGACCGCGTCGAATGAGGCTCTTGGTCACGTCGGCTCTGCCGAGTAGTTGGTCCGCCAGATATAAGTAGGTGTGTAGGTCCTTCCGATTGTCATTCTTATCCTCTCTCCTCTCTCTCTCTCACACACACATACACACACCTCCTCCCCCACTCTATCTCTCTCCAGCTTTCTCTCCCCTCTCACCCGTTCTCTATCGCTTTCCCCCCACCCCCCAGCACGCACCTGCCATTTGATCATTCTCAGAGGAACAACTCACCGACTTGTCACCCAAGCAATATCTCTGACCACTGGTAAAGTATTACTCAACACTTGAGTGACCTGTACTAATCCCGTCTCTTCTAATTGTTTCAACAAATCATTTTGGACATTTACACTCGTCTCTCTAACATGCTCCCCATCCCCATTTCCATTTCCCACGCGGATACATTTGACGAAACTCACTTGAGTATCATTGATCATCCTCATCAACTCTGCCAACTGTTTCTCATGTTTAGAAGTCACCGTGACTTTCTTTCCGCTTTTCTTCTTGTCAACCTGTTCCGAACCCATGGCGATCTTTACGTATAAATCGACTTTTGAACTTTTCAGAACCTCCATAGCTTCGTCCGGCACGTTATTTGCGTTTTGTGAAAGACAAGTCACAAGATCATAATTCACTTTCCCTGCGAAATGTTCAACCATGACGTCGTTCTCACCATGTCGTTGAGGTTTATCATTTATGTTTCCGCCGTTGCTGATGGATCGTGGAGGTTTATCATTCATGTTCCCACCGCTGTTGATAGATCGACGATGATCATGATCATGACCGTGACCATGATTGGGATTGGAATTGAAATTTTTCAAATAATGTGACCAAGATGATTTTATATCGATAGGAGATTGACGTAAACGATCGCCATCTTGCATTAACCTTAATAATTTGATGATATGTTTCTTTCGGATATCTGCTTGTTGACGATAATTGTCTAGACCTTGTCTACTGATACTGGGTTTCGAGGATGTGGATGTGGATGTGGATGTTTGGTTTATTTGTGTGGATGATGTTTGGTTTACTCCTTTGGATGATGATGTTTGAGAAGAGAGAGAGATAGGACGATGACGATCAACGTCAGGATTAGATTTTTCAGAACTTGTTGAAAAGATACCGAGGTTTGTCGAACGGGTTTCGGTCGGTGGTGGTGGAGAAGGATGATCCACTATGACATTATCTAAAACTTGATTGATGAATGTTGATTGAAGTTGTTCGTTTGTCCAATTAATCAAGAGTTGTGATAAATCATTCTTTGAGTTTCAGCATGATACTTCATCTTCCTTCCCACACACACACACACAACGACACATCAAGATGAGACATTTTGTTCACGATACATGACGAAAAGGCTAGAGTCAAGTCTCAACACTCGACACAAGAAGGATTCAGGGAAGATATGTAGAGTGGACGACTTTCGGGGAGGGAAGATATGTAGATTGGACGACTGACCGTTTCAAACTGTTCAAAACCATAAACATCCAAAAGACGTATGATCCCTTTACCACCTTGTCGGATCGAGCTACCACCAGCACCTTGTTGGGATGATGATATTTTCTCGTCATAATCATGATTGCCATCATCGTCTTGTGCCAAGTATCGATTACATTCGCCGACAATCCACTACATTGTGGTCAGCGTATCGTATGGATCAGGAGAAGAGAAATCTGGATCTAGATCTAGTCGTCATGAAGCTGATAGAAGTCATGTGAGATGGAAACGAGAATATGAAGCTTATACAAGTCAGGTGAGATGGAAACGAGGATATGAAGTTATACAAGTCATGTGGGATGGAAACGAGGATATGAAGCTTATACAAGTCATGCGAGATGGGAAGAAACAAGGATAAAGAGGGTATGAAGAGATTCATGTGAGAAAGAAAAGGATCAGAGACTACGAAGAGATTTCATGTGAGAAAGAAACGAGGATGTGAGGATATGAACAAGTTCAGGTGGGACGAAAAAGAAGAAAGGATATGAGGCCACCACCATCAACAACAACGACGACGACGACGACGACGACGACGACGACAAGAAGAAGAAGCAAAAGAAGAAGAAGAAATAAATAAACTCACTTGAAAAACTTCGACATACCATTGACAAACAATCGCATTCTTCCTTTTTGAACCTTGTTCTTCCCACAAGTTGATAGGTTTACCCACCACCGAGTCGTAAGTCAACAATCTCAACAAAACTTTATTTTCTATTCCTAACAAACCAGAAATCGTTTCGAATTCCAAACTACTACTTGTCCTTGTCTTTTCGTCGTCGTCGTGTTGGTGTTTGGGTTCGGAAAGATTATTCAAAAGATGTATGTCGCCGTCGTGGTATTTGGGTCCGGGTTCGGGTTCAGAAAGATTATTCAAAAGATGTATGACGATCAACAAGTTTAATATTTTATCAGCTTGATCTATCCCTATCAAGATCTTCAACGATCTGTAAAATTCTTCGAATCGAAATTGTCCGTTTCCGTTCTTTCCTCGTGAATGAGAATCGAATTCTGATATTTCTTGTCCTTGAAAAACAACCTCTTTCGGATGGATTTTACCATTCTCATTCCCATTCCCAATCCCATTCTCGTGTTCATTCCCATTCCCATTCCCTTTGAAAACTCTGTTATCGACACGTGATTTTTCGATAAGAAAACCAGAACCAGAACCACCGACGAAAAAAGGTATTTCCCTCAAAGCGTGAAATGTGAAGTCTGGTGATTTCGCTACCACCCTGGATTTCTCAAATAGTAAAGTCTGAATCTCCATGGAGATTCGGTTCGATCGTTTGCCGTTGTCATCTTGACTGATATGGAGCTGAAGGTCAGGGTTCTTCTGTGATTTGCGGTTTGGTCGATTTCATGTCAGCTATCAGAGAAAGGAGAGCGTATGTTGGGAGAGAAAGAAAAGAGTTTCAAAGAAAGAATCACACGATATCAAGACACTGTGAACGATCTCTCTCTCCGAACGTGATTGGTGAGTTCGAAAGCGAAGACGAGAGCCGAGAGCCAATAGGCGAAAGGTTGGTTGGTCGGTTCAAAGATGATATGTAGGGAATTCGAATGAAAAATCAAGAGAAGAAAAGGCAACAGGATTGAGTTGAAGATGATGACGAAAAAGAGAGAGAAAAGGCAAAAAAAGGTCGGGGAAAGAGCGAGGAAAAGCGAATGAACGGAAATGGTTGCTTTGCTTTGGAATGATTACAAGTGAAGGAAAACCCAATAGGGAGATTGATTGGTTCAACATGATACATGATTAAACAACGAGAGGAAAACAGATAAAGGGGGAAAGGGGGGAGAGACGTTAGAGGTTGACAGGATCACAGGTTTCTCACAGAAGAAGAGTGTCAAGGGTAGAAGAGTAAAGAGTACAGAGACAGAGACAGAAAAAGAAGGAAAAACCCACTTGAAGACAGGTAGCGAACCTGGAAGAATTATGGTTCATACCTGTTTCTGCGTTACCCAAAGCTTCCAATACAGTCTCTACCACTTTATGTCTGTCCGAAAGTTGTTGTGTCGTATTCGATTTCATGTACGTTTCTGCCATCCGTTGAGCAAT